CACATATACACATATACATATATATATATATATATATATATATATATATATATATATATATATATATATATATATATATATATATATAGTTTTCAGGAGCATTGTTGAGACACAAAAAGTAATGTTGTTTTCGTATTCAGCATGTCAAACTTCAGAAAGAAACTAAAAATAAAGGTGAAGCAAAGCTTAAAAAACAAATTGTCTCTTTTTTGTATTTGTATCTTGGATGGAATTCTATGGCAGCTTGCTGCTACCATAGAATTTTGGCAATAGAAACAAATTTGGCAATAGGAACAAATAGCAGCAAATTTCGGTTGCCTACCAATTGGACCAGCCCTCGCAGCAGGAGGTCGCCTACAAAGGCTTAAAATGCCTCCTACGTAGGCAGCTCACTAGGTTTTGGAACACATCCTGAGTGTGTGTGGCCTGGCTCCAGACTCCAGTGAGTGATCTGCCCTGTGATTGCAGCTGGTATGACAGTTAACCATTACTCAGCCCCAGCATTCGTTTTTCAGTCTGGTACTCTCTACCCGTCTGGAACTCTATATGGCACCTGGCACAAGTAGAACACCCACGAACGGGCCTTCAGTCTGGATTTGTCTTGCCATGCTATTGTAGCTCAGAACATTGAGCTCTATTGAAGACGTATTAACTACCATTGCACAAAGAGTTCAATTCATATCCAGAAATGGACTGTCTCGAAAAGACATTCTTCATGATACAAAATAAACAAATCTCTGCTTTTCAAAGGCATGGAAATAAATTTTCAGTTTAGCATTAAATATTGCTTTTGTATGTGAGCAGTGGCACCAGTTTTGAGTGTTTAAAACTGCCTTAATACATTTTAACATCATATGATCTGGTCAGTGATCATTTTTGTCACTTCACAGCACTTTGTGTCACATATTTTTTCCAGTGTAGCAATACAAAATCTTGGCAATATTTTTGACATGATGGGGCAGTTTCAGAGTTTAGTTTCAAAATGGCTAAAATGCTTGTAATATTCAAGCAATCCTATAGGTGTGTTTGATCAGAGTTGAATGGATGGATGGATAGATAGTTGGATAAAACAATGGATGAACTGACAGTTGAAGATGATAGATGAATGGATGGATTGATTGACTGACAGAAAGACAGACAGACAGACAGACAGACAGACAGACAGACAGATAGACAGATAGATAGATAGATAGATAGATAGATAGATAGATAGATAGATAGATAGATAGATAGATAGAAAAGGTGAAGCAAAGCTTAAAAAACAAATTGTCTCTTTTTTGTATTTGTATCTTGGATGGAATTCTATGGCAGCTTGCTGCTACCATAGAATTTTGGCAATAGAAACAAATTTGGCAATAGGAACAAATAGCAGCAAATTTCGGTTGCCTACCAATTGGACCAGCCCTCGCAGCAGGAGGTCGCCTACAAAGGCTTAAAATGCCTCCTACGTAGGCAGCTCACTAGGTTTTGGAACACATCCTGAGTGTGTGTGGCCTGGCTCCAGACTCCAGTGAGTGATCTGCCCTGTGATTGCAGCTGGTATGACAGTTAACCATTACTCAGCCCCAGCATTCGTTTTTCAGTCTGGTACTCTCTACCCGTCTGGAACTCTATATGGCACCTGGCACAAGTAGAACACCCACGAACGGGCCTTCAGTCTGGATTTGTCTTGCCATGCTATTGTAGCTCAGAACATTGAGCTCTATTGAAGACGTATTAACTACCATTGCACAAAGAGTTCAATTCATATCCAGAAATGGACTGTCTCGAAAAGACATTCTTCATGATACAAAATAAACAAATCTCTGCTTTTCAAAGGCATGGAAATAAATTTTCAGTTTAGCATTAAATATTGCTTTTGTATGTGAGCAGTGGCACCAGTTTTGAGTGTTTAAAACTGCCTTAATACATTTTAACATCATATGATCTGGTCAGTGATCATTTTTGTCACTTCACAGCACTTTGTGTCACATATTTTTTCCAGTGTAGCAATACAAAATCTTGGCAATATTTTTGACATGATGGGGCAGTTTCAGAGTTTAGTTTCAAAATGGCTAAAATGCTTGTAATATTCAAGCAATCCTATAGGTGTGTTTGATCAGAGTTGAATGGATGGATGGATAGATAGTTGGATAAAACAATGGATGAACTGACAGTTGAAGATGATAGATGAATGGATGGATTGATTGACTGACAGAAAGACAGACAGACAGACAGACAGACAGACAGACAGACAGATAGACAGACAGACAGATAGATAGATAGATAGATAGATAGATAGATAGATAGATAGATAGATAGATAGATAGATAGATAGATAGATAGATAGATAGATAGATAGATAATATTAATCTCTCTTGCTATTTTTGCTTGCGTGCCAGTGGTTTCCCCTCCAGCGCTGGCATGTGTGCCTAAGGTTGCTGACCCCTGTTCTATAGAATTTATTGATTTACATGTATGTGCAGCTGAGGTCATACTTCACTGAAGGACAAGAGAAGTTAATTTTCCAGTAAGTGGTGCATTTAGTGGTTTTGCAGTCTGTTATTTGGCCTGGGCCTCTTACTGGCTGCCACAGTGCATGCTAAACAAAAGCGCTGTGTTCAAAACAAGTTAAGTTCTATCTGCAGCATCTGTGATATGCAGTCAATTACCATGTAAAGCAGTTCTGACTTGTCCGTCAGTTTTTTAAAACAAACAAAAATGGTGTTTATAGTACCATACTTGCAATGAGTCTATGGGGCAAGACATTCCAGGGGGACGTGCAGCTCCTATAGTTGTTAAAATGGAATTCATCCATACAGAAATGTGTTATTGAAAATGTAAATTGTTTATCATGCACACATCTTGCCCTATAGACTTTCACTGTACGCCCATAACTGGAATAAAATTATATATATACAGTATATATAACAAAACAAAAAAAATGTTTGCTTATTTGTTCAAATGAAGGACAAGGCAAAATTATTTTCTGTGGTCATCGACAATATGCACACAGATGCTGTCTACTGACTTTAGGTTATATGGAAACCAGAACATTCTGATGGTGTGTGTCAGGTCTATTATCATCGGTTTGTGTTAGTCCAAACACTTACACTTGGTGTTGTCGGACAAAATCTGCAAACTGGCGGTCCTTGGCATACAGCTCGATAATTCGAATACGGTCCTGGATTTCCTGTCATGAGAGAGGGAAGGTGGAAGAGGGAGAAGAAGACAGTTACATAACAAATGAGCTGACCTCTCTGCCCCAGTCCTCCTTTTACTTCTAGACATATAGACCAATTCTGGCACTTTAAACCAAGAGCTAAGGTGAAACACAGAATCTTATGAAGGATTTCTTTAATTATAGGCACTTTCATCAGAAAGGAGTTGATTTATATTCAAAGTAAAAGACAGACAGACAGACAGACAGACAGACAGACAGATCGATAGATAGCGAGCCAGACAGACAGATGGATGAGTAGATAGACAGACACAGACAGACAGACAGATAGAGAGAGAGAGAGAGAGAGAGAGAGAGAGAGACAGACAGACAGACAGACAGACAGACAGACAGACAGACAGACAGACAGACAGAGAGATAGATAGATAGATAGATAGATAGATAGATAGATAGATAGATAGATAGATAGATAGATAGATAGATAGATAGATAGGCTATTTTTAAATATGAAATCCACAATAAAAAATGTTGCATTTGACATATTTTAGATAATTACATAACTATTAGTAGTAGTTCTGCACCCATTAACGCTCCACTACATGTTTCATGGATTGCAGGAATGAGTGAATAAAAGACATTTAGCCTCTAAAACGGTTTAGTGCATTCAGTTCTGAACATTACATAAGAAATATGATTTATCTACCCATCAAGTATTGTTTCCCAATGAGGACATGTTTGACAATTCTCCATTGTTCAGCGTTGCCAGAATTTTCTCCATTGTGAGCATATATCAGACACTCAGACTATGACAGTTTCACTGCTACAGGGAACAGTGCTTTAGCTGAAGGACATGAGAGTATTTTTAGGAACGTTTTTGAGGAATATTCTATGCAATGCTGCAGACCACTTGCATAAACACACACAGCGGTACAGCTCTACGGACAATGTGTATCATGAGCACCTCATTATTCGTGGAATTGTCAACATGCAACTATTTTGCTTTTTTATGTTAATTTGTACAATCTCATTTATACTTTTTCATACAGTCTACTTAAACTCAATTTAATGGTAAGTGTAGGGGTAAGACCTTCGTGCTTACTTTTTTCCTAAAAAATATATTTTTCATACAAATAACATTGTAAAAATGTATACAAAATTGCCACCTTATAAGATAGTTATGTTTTCTAATCAATTCACTTTCTAATCAGTTCAGTTTAGTATGCTTTTATTAGCTTAGTTTTGAAAAAAAAAAATTTTTTTATTTTTTATGTGAATTTGTATGATCACATTCATACGTCTTTGTACAATCTACTTACCCCCATTCAATGGTTAAAGGCCTGTTCACACCAAGAACGATAACTATAAAGATAACGATATTAGCATCCACACCAGCGGACGATATCGTCTGTTCATTCCAAGCGCACGCTCGTCTGCCGCTTTAAATTCTCAAGCTCTTCATAGCAGGATTGATTCTGATTGGCTGTCAATGTTTTTATCGTTCATCAGTTGGAAAAAATCGTTTTGAAAGTGATTCCAACTATATTGTTTCTCTGTGCCTTTATCGTTATAGTTGAGGTGTGGACTCTGCTATTCTTTAATATTGAGAACGATTTTTAGAACTATATCTTTAACGTTATCTTTATAGTTATCGTTCTTGGTGTGAACAGGCATTAAGTTTTGGAGTGGACCCTCATGCTTACTATTTTTATAAAAATCATACGTTTTCATAGAAATAATATTGTACTTATTCATATGAAATCGTCACCTTGTAAAAATAGTTGTGCCCCATTTGACGGTTAGGCTTTGGGTAGTGCTTACTTTTTTCAATTCAATTCATAATCAATTAAATTAATTGCATTTTTATTAGCTTTCTTTTTGCCATAAAACATGCTGCATTGCTGCCACTTGCATGACTTTCGAAAGTTGTCTTTTTAGGTCCGAAAGATGTATTTTTAATAATTTGTCAACTGAGCGATCAACAACCAGGTACAATATACCACACCAAGGGAGCTTACTTCTGCCCCACAAAACCTTGATTCTTGTCAAAATTAATTTAGTGTCTTCTAAGGTCTATTAACATGCACACAAACACACCTCTTTCGTAAGTTCACTGTTCTCATATATGTGTCGTATTTCCTCGCTGCTGAAGTCCGTGGAGGTCTCAGCGTTGCCGGTGCTATACGCAGGGGTATCTGGGTAACGGCGGTAGTACTTTTTATACCCTGTAGTTGCTTCACTTTCAAACATGGGATTGTACTCAGTGGCTCTTTCTAGAGATGGCATGTTCTCTGAATATCTGTGGAAAAATGTCAGGAAGTAAAAGTCAGATTTAGGACAGCAACATCAATACATCAGACTAAAAAAAAATTATTTTGGGAAGACAGATTTGAATCTCATTCAAAATATGTTTCTCTCCCTGAATAATGGCATCTCTCTATTGTCTCAAATTAAATTAGTAATTAAATAAACCTTTGGTTGTATCTGGAATCAAACATGCCCTTACTGTGGGTTTATAAAAGTAGCAGATCGTCCCACCTATTTATATCTGCCCAAGGGTCAGATAGTGGAGCCACGGAAAAAGTGAGTGGATTATCTCAGGCCGAGTGAGAGCGGCTCAATGTTCTGCCATCCTGGCATTCATTCCTCTATAACCTGTTGATCAGGATCACTGATAGATCCCCCGCAGAGACGTTACATCATCGTGCGTCTGCCAGGATTTCCCTGTTTGCTCTGGTGCTGGTGAAGCAAACAGGTTTAAGTCTGCCGTGTTTATGTTTACAGACAAAGTGTAGATGCAAACTAAATTAAAGTATTTTATAATATTGTGTCTTTATTTTTTATTTAAATGTAACAAAGAAACATTTCAAGTATTAAAGCTAACTTGACTGAATGTATGAAGTCAGATATAATATTTACACGTTTGACAATCAGAAAGTGTCACAATATGTTTTGTCTTTTAAATAAATTGACATTTGTTTGGATATTGTACTAATTCAGTCACAGTTGTCTAATACATTGCGGATTAAGTGTCTTAAGTACTTCTTGTATGTATGTTATCTAGAGCTGATGGATGTAAAATGTGTGTATTGGATATAAAATGTGTGTTCAAAATGAAACTTAGGACAGGAAGAACTTGTTCAAAAATGATAATTGATTCAACCTGCACATGCCTAACAGCATTTGTTTCATAACGACCAAAGAGAACATATTGTGTGTTCCGGCTTATTCGTGCAGCAAGGTCATAAAAAGAAAATACGCACGTTTGGGCTGTAAAATATTGCAGTGCGCTCCATATGTATGTTCCAGAACGCAGTGCTTTCAAACACAATCACAGCTGAGATTGTTTGGTTCCTTTTCAACCAGGTGAGGAAACCAAATGTCATTTAACAAGTTGGGAAATGCAACATTATTTGTCTTTTGGGGCCTCAGAGGAAACGCAAATCACATTTCAGAGTGCTTGTATTTACAGCATTCATTCAAAACGCTGACAGAATGCTTTAAAAATGCCATTTAGGCATCACATGTGCACCATTCAAGTCGTTCAAATGAACTGAACCGTTATTAATAATCCATTTAGCAGATTTGTAGTCCACTAAGGAGTTCTGCTTGTTTTAAAATTTAAAGAAAGACATAAGCTTCTTAATTTTTTCCAAATAAAATATGATCATTAAGAGTGTGTTTGTGAAGCACAGTTTGTACCGTAAAGGGTCTTCTGAATCATCTGTGTCATACTGGTCTCGCAGAGTTCTGGCGAGGAAAAAAATCACGCCCGATGCCACGAGGAGGAACCCCGCGACTGAGGCGATGGCTATGCCAACCACCAGCGGTTCTGACACATACTCCTCACAGTGTTCTCCTCGATACCACCAGTTTTCACCGACTCGACACCTAAAAACAAAGGTCAGTGAATTGCATTTTTGGCCGTATTGTTGCTTTAGGAGATTTTTTTACAGTACACACCTGCATATTGCGCCCTTGCCAGGTATGATGTCACATTTCCCATCATTCTGGCAGAAGTCTTCTTGTATATCGCAGATACTCTGACATGGCAGCCCGTCCACGCTAAAATAGCCAGCGTTACAAACACACTCTGCCTCGCCTGACCAGCGGTTGACTAAACACTGGGAGAACTCATTGCACGCTTGGAACTTACATGGATCAGCCTGGTCACCTACCAGAAAGAAAAAGACAAATTATACATACTCACAGCAAAGAAAAGAAAAAAAAGCATTATTACAATTCATTACAAATGTGGCATCAAAACAAAGACAATTTTCTGATTTCAAAGGCATCAGCATTTGGTCATTAGAGATGTGTGTTGACAAAGGAGCTCAGAGAGAATTTACACAGGGACACAAACAAATATGACTCATTTGCCTGACGCATTGAGCTCTACAAGTCTCACTAGAATAAATCACCTCTAATCTGTCTGGAGTACAGAATCAATCTCTTATCACTCATCCTAACAAGGCCTATTGTTTTCCAAAGCCAGACTGGAAAACCCTAACCTTATGTCCTCTAGCATAGAAGAAACATGCTCAATATTGCTCAAAAGAGATATCTGAGATATCACATTTTGGAGGTGTGCCAGCAAAATGCACAGCGAATGTGGTTATCGATCTTTCTGGTACAATTTTAGGATTGCTATTTGCATATTGGCAAAGGCAAAGGCAAAGGCAAAAAAAAAACCTGTCCCCTAAACATGTATTCTTGTCCCTAAGTAAGTCTAAGATATGTTTTGCCCATATTAATGCCTGTTCAATTACAATTGTTCAGTAGCCTTTTAGTACTGGTATCAGCTGAAGAAATTTTTCTTTTTGCCAATCAGTCTGGCTCCTGTAACATATATGAGTCACAAAGCCTCCCTGTGTGGCACACAAAAAAATAAAAATAAAATAAACAGTAAAACAAAACAATTGTTACTCATCAATTTTGGCTTAAAATATGACAAATGAAACATAAGTGGTGCACAAACTGTGACAATCTATAACAAATAGTACTAATAGTACTTGTGACTGGTGCTAATAAATCTAGGATTTAAAAATGACTTTGAATTGGCAAAAATGCATAATATGGCAGGCATTCTACCCCTTAAAGAATCAAATTATGTTTAGTGAATATTGTTGGCCACAGGCAATGCCAAAAAATGCACTCATGTCTTCATATCCGCCAATTTGTTTTCTGTGTTTTGAGTGTATATGTAAACTTTGAGTTACCTGATTCAACATCCAATGAATATTTGTCTATTGCAAGATTCATAGTTTGGTAAGCAGTATTGCAGAAGTCCTCTAGGATAAGGTACACTGTTGTTGTCACACCATGGGGAACTGGCTTGCCAAACTTCATCCTGCTGTTTACCACAATGCTTCCATTCCTGAAGTTCAAGATCTCTAAATTTTGGAAATTGCTGAGGTTGGACTGTAGATATGGTACAAGCTAGAGAGAAAAAATGAAATAAAATAAAGCATATTCCAATAAGCAGCAATACTGAGCCACACATACCTAGTGACGTTAATGGAAGTCAAGATGGTGACTGAAGAGTCTAATTCCATTCCAATTATCTCATTAGTTAGTGTTCATAAAGACAGCTGCTAATGGAGTTAACGGATAGTATGCAAAGCCCCTAACAAACCCTCCTAATGTTCTACAACAAACATCAACAAATCTAAACTGATGTTGTCCTGTGTGTAACTTTAGAATATGCTTTATGGAATCGTTTACCCAAAAATGAAAATTTTGTCATCAATGAAGATTTCCATGCAACACAAAAGATTCCACCAGTCACCACTCACTACTATTGTATGAAAAAGTGCAATTAAAGTGATCAGTCCCAAACATGCTGTCTAACATCCATTTGGGTTCCTTAAGCTCATTACTGCCTAAGAACATGTATAAAAACAGTTGTGATTAATAACTCATGGCCTTTTTACTGATGTTTTGCTTTCCATAAATTAGAGCACAGTAATAACCTAAGAATGAATGTGACAAATATATCTTACCAACTCCATGAATTGCTGCTCAAGAGCCTTGTATTCAGTAGAGCTCTTGTTGAACAGATCTTCGGAAAACATCATGTTGGTGACCCTGAGGCTGAAAAACACTATTAACGCCCTTCCAGGACTGGCTGGCAAGGCAATACTTGCCAAGTCAGCCCCACGAGCAAATCCGCTACCGTCGTCTTCATCATGGTTTGGCCCATCAAATGGGAATATGTCAAATGAAACATCAAACTCTGTTATGTTGGGGTTTACTGGAACAGGAACTTTCAGAGTAGTACTGTCAGAGTTCACTAGTTTGGTAGGTAGGATGAGGCCTGTGATGTCAGGGCTTGATCCTGCTGTGTGCTCTTGTACTGAGTCATCTGACGTTATCTGGATAGTAGGTTTGAATGTTGACTGATAAAATGATGGTACAGTGGTGGAACTAAGGGTCTCTGTATGTTCTGAAACATCTGGAATGACAGACATTGTGGATGACTGAAATATTATAGTTGAGTCTCCATCTTCAGCATTCTCTGATAAAACAGGCTCCTTTGCAACAGTTGCAATATAAGTGTGTATCACATCAGTTGGAGTCTCTGGAGTCGTCTCTTGAAGAACCGAATGAGTAGATGATTGGATATGTAGAGGTTCCGTGGTTGATTCTGGTAAAGGCTCATCTTCTATTGATGAATGTGATATCCGAGTGAACGGAGAGTCATTCTCAGGAAACAGGGAAGATGAATGATCTACACTTGGTTCCTCAGTAGCTATTGTTATTGGGGCCGTTGTTGCGACCAATATCTCATCCCCAGCTAAATCCTCTTCTGAGAGTTCAGTCACTGGGTTTTCCGTAGGCATAAGCTTGATGACTTCCATCTCCTCGTCTAGAATCTTGACTTCTTCATCTGATTCTTCTACCTCTGGCCATAAGAGTGCAGGTAACTCCATGATACCTTCGGTTACAGGAAGCTCAACAGCTTCTGAATAAGTGGTAGGACCTTCCACAGAAACTGTATCAAGTTCTAGGATTATAGGTAATTGCGTGGTTGAAGGCATTTCATTTGACTTTGTTGTGGAGGCCAGTGTTTCCTGACTCTGCTTGTTTTCTGTTGAAGTAATTTGTTCATCTATGGCTACTGCTGTGCTTGGTGGGATCACAGTGGGTGTAACAAGTCGTTCTGTATAGTCCTTATCAGCAGGTGAACTGATTGTATCAGGACTTTGTGATGCATCCACATCTTGGGTTCCTGCTGAAGTGTAGACATATAGTGAGGGTTGACTGGTCACATGTGTAACCATAGTGGTAGATTCATCTGGAAAATAGTCTTCATATTGTTCAGGGGCTACTTGGGTCTGCATAGAAAGCTCCACAGTCAAAGTCTCCATAGTCAAAAAAACCGGAGCTTGGTCAGTTGTTGTGTAGTGAGGATTAGTACGAATGTCTTGTGTCACAAGAACCCTGTCCAAGAATGGCTCCTCGGGTGTCAGATCTTGGTGGGGAGGCTCAAGCTGTTCCACTATAGATTCCTGATCTTCCTGAGGTTGGTGTACCTCATCTTCTTTCAAGACTTCTTCTGGTGTTCCTGACTCCCAAGGCCAAATGTCAGGACCTAGATGATCTCCAGAGAAACCTGAGCCTGAACCCAGGTCTATCAAGTCACTCTGAGTAGTCAACTCAACATCAGGAGGTTCCACAGGAGAAATTGAGATCTCTTCCAACTTGTGAGGTGATTCCGAAGGTAAGGCAACTACAGTAATTGTGCCTGTGATAGGACTGACTGTAGTTGCAGTCAGTAAGAATCCCTCCTCTTCAACAATACTATTGTCTAAAACAAGAACACAAGATTTTAGAACCATATTACTGATTTTTAGGTGGGAAATAATTTGTGAGAGATTACAGTAGACTCACTCTCTGTACCAGGAGCAGGTGCACTGCTTGATGTCTCAATTTTAGAGGTACGCTCAATGTCAAAGTTCTTTATAGACACATCTGTGTGAGACAGAGTGGGACTTTCCTCAAAGATGATTACATCATTTGTGTCCTCACTCTGTCCATCCATCCAGGGATCTATCATGTGAATGCGGTCAAGGAAGTCATGATTTGTAATGGAGATGTCATTGTTGGATAATTCCTGCCTGGTAACATCTGGTGGTTTCTCAGAAGCAAGAACATTATCCTAGGATTTAATGATTGAACAGTCATGGTTAGTTACTATAAACTGTAAAATTATTATTGAGACATAAAGCAAATATATTTAAGGTAAGTCTACATAAATGTTGTTGACAAAAAGATGAGCCAAAAGACATTGTAACTTTCCATACTTAGGCCTATGTCCACTGAATGTCCTAATGTTTCAGCTGTTAAAATTATATCTCACCATTTGGCCATTTAAAAAAAATAAGAGTAAAAAAAAAAAAAGTACATTTGTAAGTGGAAGAAATTTTCCTCAAACGAATTTCCTAAAACAAAATGTCAGTGGAAAAATTGCATAGACATTCTAAAAAAGTACACATGCACATGATCTTTACGCCATCCTGAGGATCTGGTCCTAGATGGGGTATTGACTAAGGCATTTTTGACCAGAAGACAGTTTTTAGCTGTTCCATACACCACATATTAACATTTAACCTTCATGCAGATTTGGAATATGTCATGTTGTATATATAACAACTGGTTGCATATACATTCATGAGTTATTCACACCATTTTAGTTTTATGCAAGTAATGAGTGAGGTGCTACTGGAACTAGGTCACTGTCAGTTGCACACACTGGCCTCGTTCATGAAACACGAGCAGCATGACTTTCTGCGTAAATCATTCGTAAAACCATTCTTACGTAAACTGTCACTTTTAATTCAGTGTGACAATTTACATAAGAATAGTTTCACAAACACTTTACACAGAAATGAGCTATGCTCGTATTTCTTGAAATAGGTCCACTGACTATTTAATATAGGACAAATGGCTAGACCGATTTTCCTATAGAACTAGTTTTATGCACCCTACTAGTTATAATTTGCATCAACAGCTAGCTGATCACAAACAAATATCCATCTTAAACAGGACAGATCAGATAAAGCATCAACTTCTCACATCAACTTTAAGTAACTAACATGTGTCTTTGGAGGCAAGCATACTATTACCTGAGAGAACACATGTTTCCAGATACAGACATGGGCACCAGCCAAAACAAGACAGTAAATCTACTTAATAAGGGTATTGAAAAAAGTGCCAGTTTTGTCAAATGTAAGAGGAAAAACTGAGAGTAAATTCTAAGATTATTGCTATGTTTGGTATCCAATGTGTCTTTCTAATTAAACTACAGACTGCGAAGAAAGCTGCTCGGCCTCTGCAATAAATATATGTCATACTGAGATTAAAAACATATTCTTTTCAATATTTCATAATGCCTGAGCAAAACGATTTTCATAAAATTGCATGCTTACTTGTGTCTAGAGAATACTTGAGCTGGAAAATTGACTTGAATAGTTTTACAGACCCGCCGTATTATCCCATAGCTGTGCTATAATCTGTTTTAATGACATGCCATGAAAAACAATTTTATGTGCAAGGTAATCTTTCTTATCATGTAACAACAAAAACCTACGTGTGATTGCCATTAGTGTGACTCATTTTTCATTTAACAGCTTTGGAAGGATTCACATTCACACTTTAAGTGATTGCACAGCAATGAGGTGAAAAAACCCTAAATCCTAAACTGCAGCTCTGGATAGGGATTCTGGACTGGACAGTAATGGTTACCCGTTTTCTGGGTGGTCCTGCCAATGACCATTGACTCACCATCATGTCACTGGAGTCAAGCGGTCTGCTGGTTGGTTTGGAAGGCAGCAATGTCTCCACTGTGAAGCCAAAACAGACAAATCATATCAAATTATACTTAAAACTGCTCAAGCACAGTTCATACCCATACTGGCATCTCTTCAAGAGAGACTGGCTCTGAGGGCTGCAAGATTAGTCTGCCAAAACCAGAGATAAGAACCATGAAGGCTCCTTGCTTCTGTTAAAACTGTGTACTGCCAAGCATTGTAAGAGGATATACTAACATTGTCAACATACTGCATCTTGGGTTCATTCTACTACAATTTACAATATACCACTGTGACAGAACACAAACTTGAACCTGAATGATTCTAAGAAACTTCCATAAGAAGCACTCAGCTCAACACTTCTTGGGTTCCCTATAATGGATCCACAATGTGTAGAGAATGTCCTACCATTTTCCAGTTGCAAAGAATCAGGGTCCACTTCAAGAGTGGTGTTTCTGATGAAATTCTCCCTGTGGAGGGCTTCGGTGATGTAGTTTCGGAAGTCAGTGATGGTGTAGACAACAGTAGGTAGCTCATCAGGATCTGTGAAGGAGTTCTCAACCATGTTGGAATGTAGGTTTATGTAATCCATGGTCTCTTTACTTATGCCCACACCATCGCCCTCAAGAACCACAGCATAGTGCACCACTACTGCCAGGCCTCTGAGGAATGTAAAGAAAACAGTGACTCTTTGCGGTCAAATAATGATAATAATAATAATATGCTTCATCAAAGGCCTCACTGGCTGTAAACTGGCCTCAAGACTGGAGTTATGTATTAAATGACTCCAACTCTTATAAACAAAAGAACAGCTTCACCTACAGTACAGCAGGAGTTTGTCATGTTGGAGCCTGCTATCTGTTTTTGTCAGTTTGTCATATTTAATCATATTGAACTTTTACATAATTCTTATGCCTAGTAGTAAATTAAAATAAATTCAGAGAAGCACAGCTTACAGTAAATGGCCTAAGGTGGCTTGGTGGTTTTAAATGGATTAAGGTTTAGTTGTTCTCCTAGCACAACCAAGTTGGTCTGATTGGTCTCCTAGCCTGGTTAAGCTGCTTTTAACTCATCAGCCACCTGGTCTCCCTGTCTAACCAGCATAAAAAGTGATGGTTACCTCTCTAAATTTCTCTAGAATCATCAAAATAGACCCACTTAATCAGCATGGACAGGCTTAGAGACATTGGTTTAAGCTGTTTTTTTTTTTACTAGCTAACAACCAAATTTGCTACAGAATATTCAGCAGCCAGCTGTTGAGCTGAACTAATTTTTTTTGTCCACATGTTTTTCTAAGAGGGTTAAAAAACCTAGTGGGTTCATGACCAGCTCAATTGTGTCTCCTACGACAGACAAAATATCCATGAAGATTCAATTCTTTGGCACGCCAGAAATGCTAATTAGCTTTATATGGTTTTAAGTGAGAACATGTCTGTTTACAGGTGGTTTAAGGGGCCTCCTGGAGCTCACAATATGCAGTTATTCATTGTGTGGTTTAACCAAGGCCTTGCTGACAAACCTTGGGAAACACTACCACGATGACAATTGAGAGCAAAGAACATTTAGCATTTAATCCCATCATGCTTGGCAACTGGGCATGCATTTAGCACAGCAACTTTTCCCACTTAAGGTGGCGACTGGCCAGACAAAATAGCCCACTGACATACACACACATATGTCACACCAAAATGAGTGTGACCATCCTTGCAATCAATTGATTTCACAAGGCTAATGAAGCAGCAAGCACATGACCTTACCAAGAAAACAGTGTGAAAGTGATTTCAGAGCAACGCTCTATAAAACACTACATATGGTGGGTGGAAAATTCAGGCACATGAATTTCTCATTAGATGTTTGGAGGAGATATGGGTCATGCAGCTGTGTGATATGGCAGGGTGGGGAGATGGATTTATCAGGCCTGGGTGAAACATTGCAGAAATATTAGTAGTGATAGCCCAAACGACATTAATGCCTGTTTTCTTCATTTTGAGATGTGATTAACTGTGACTTATAAAGGCAATGCATTTAGACCCAGAGTTCGAGCTAACTAAGATTTAGGATACTTACCCTTCAATGTCCTTCTGTGGCCTGAGATATTTTATTAAGAAAAAAAAGAATGATATTAAGAATACAACACAAACACACACACACACACACACACACACACACACACACGTGTGAATATTTGTTTTATGTGAGAATGAGCGACAGATAGAAAGAGTTAAACCGAATAACTGTCCAGCTGTAATTGTACTGTGTTTATATATATATATATATATATATATATATATATATATATATATATATATATATATATATATATATATATATATATATATGCTATTGCTTTTATCTGTATGCATAATCATATAAATTAATATAAAAATCATACCTGAATTCAAGCACAAGTATTTTCTTGAAACCTGGGAGCCTTTTAAAAACTTCTTCAATCTTCAACAAAAGAAAAGAGATGCTATTAATGTACAGTACTGTATATATATTTCCTGATGGGCATGAGATTATGTATTCTAATAATTTAATTATTTAATTCGCCAAATATATAAATGTATAGATGCTACTTACCTTATCGATGAACAGTTCAGATAGATATTGATAGTAGTAACTTGATGGATCTCTCAGAGCATCATCATAGCTTTCACCTCTTATCTTAATACTCAGCTCCACAATATGATCACCGACAGGGTGTGCTGGTCGGACCATAATGTCATCAATTTCATTTCCAATCTATATACAAAAAAAAAAAATGTTTAAGAGGAACTCACAATTACGGAGTTAAAAATATATACACAAGTGTATTTTTAAAGTTAAATAATTGTCTATAATAAATTTGATGTGCTCACCTTGCTGTTTTCATCTAAAATATCATTAGAAATGTCCTGTGGCAAGTTTTGTAATGTGGTGGAGAAAGTCTTTTGAATAGTAGTTGTCAAGTCATTTAGTACAACTGTGATATCCTCTACTTTCAAGATAGGAGTTGGGATGTCGTCCTCTGCAGGTTCTGGATGGACCACATGTATCTCAGGTGTTTCAGGTACTCTCTCAGTCACCTCTGAAAGTTCAGATATCAACAAAGGTGTCTGAGATGTCACCTCAGGTGTCTCTGAGATGGCTCCACTTGTCTTCAGTATAACTTTGGGTGCTTGAGATATGAAACGAGTTGTCTCTTTTATGACATCAGCTTCTGTAATGACCTTCGGTGTCTCTGTTGCAGCTTCAGGTGTCTCAGGTAAGGTGTCTCCTCTGGTCTCATGCACATCTGTGACTTCATGTGTGATTTCCACCGTAACTTTATGTGTGTCCTCTGGAATTTTTGGTGGCTCTGTAACTTTATGTATGTCCATGTTTATGGCAGTTGTCAGTATATCTTTTTCCAACTTATTAACAGTAAGATCTGGCATTGTGCCTTCAACAACTTTGAAAATTGTTTCCAGATCACCTTCATCCATTTTAGTTGTGTCTTCTAGCTTATCTTCCATGCCTTTAGTTACAAACTCTACAATGTCAGTTTCAGGGGTACCAATGTCAAAAGTAGTATCAAGTGTTGCCTTGGGTGTGATTCCAGTTGTGGTTTGACTTGTGGTCTTAGTAGAAGTTTCTGTTCTTTTAGTAGAAGTTTCTTCAAGACTTTCCTCAGATGATTCTTCTAAGATAACAGCTTCAGTTACATCACCCAATTCAGCAGTAGCTTCACTTGTTCCTCCAACTAAATCTTCAAGCGTGTTTTCAAGAACTGTCACTTTGTCTGTGTCAATGTCTTCAAATTCAACCCCATCAACTTCTGTTGCCTCTTTTGTCATCTCACCAGGTCTCGCAATGGTAGTTATGTCCTCATCAACATGCATGTCTTTCTCAGTAAACACAGATTCAGTAGCTTCTGTAGTTTCCTGTGTCAATCTAGGTGTCTCTCCAGCTGTGACCTCAGCAACTTCTGGGGACTCAGTTATAATGTCCTCTTCCTTACCTAACTGATCCTCTTCGAACTCAGTTGAGACATTTATAGGCTCATGTTTTTCCTTCGACTCTTCATGAGTACTCTCTGTCATGGTACCTGGTAGTTCTTCATTTGTTGTCATCTCTGGTGTAGGTTTAGTGTAGGGTGTCTCTTCCTCCTTTTTGTCAAGTAATGTAACAATTTCAATGTCTTTAGGTTCATCCTCTGTTGATACAACATCAGGTGATGTATTTGAAGGTGTAGTGGGTGACAGAATTTCTGGCACTGTGGTCACATATGTGATTTCGACAACATTCTTATCTGTCAGAGCTTTTGGCAACTCTTCTGTGGAGGGATTAGGTGAAACCTCTTTCAATTCTGTAGGAGTTGTCTGCACTGGCTCCTCTGGTAAGACATTTTGAACAGGAGATATTTCTGTAGGAAAATCTGTCATGGTACCTGGCAGTTCTTCATTTGTTGTCATCTCTGGTGTAGGTTTAGTGTAGGGTGTCTCTTCCTCCTCATTTTTGTCAAATAATGTAACAATTTCAATGTCTTTAGGTTCATCCTCTGTTGATACAACATCAGGTGATGTATTTACAGGTGTAGTGGGTGACAGAAGTTCTGGCACTGTGGTCACATATGTGATTTCGACAACATCCTTATCTGTCAGAGCTTTTGGCAACCCTTCTGTGGGGGGATTAGGCAAAACCTCTTTTAGTTCTGTAGGCGTTGTCTGCACTGGCTCCTCTGGTAAGACATTCTGAACAGGAGATATTTCTGTAGGAGAATCTACCGGAGGTCTATCGGTAGACATAATTTTAGCTTCTGAGACGTCTACATCTACATGCTGAATGGTAACAAGTGCGGAATTAACATGACTTTCGGTAACACCCCATCCAACATTAATCTCAGTTTTTGAAATAACATTTTCTGTAGATTCTCGAGTGTCTACTTCAGGAGCAATAGTATCTATTCCTGGCAAGTGCTTAAGGATTGTAGGAAGATCTGTCTCATACTTTCTCGAGGTGGAACCTACTGGAGTTCTACCAGTGGACATCAGTGTAGCCTCTGACACAACATCAGTTTCTACATGTTGAATTGTAGCATCTACTGATTTAACAGGACCTTTAGTAGCACCCTGCCCCATGTCCAGTTTAGCTACAGAAATTATATTTTCAGTGGATTCACTAGTGATTTCTGTAGGAGTACTGTTACTTAGCCCTAGCAAGTCCTTAAAAGTTGTGGGAATATCATAATCATATTTTCCTGAAGTAGAATCTTCTGGATTTATATCAGTGGTCAACAGTGTAGACTCTGAGACAATGTCAAGCTCTTCATGTGGAATGGTAACATCTGCTGTCTTAACAGGACCCTCAGTAACGTCATGTCTCACAAGGGCCTCATTTGTGAGCTCAGTAGGTGAAATAGTGATTATCCCTATTGAGTCCTCAAAGGATGTGGGAATAACATACTCATAATTTCCTGAAGTAGGAGTTCTATCAGTGGTCATTAATGTAGACTCAGAGACAATGGCCACCTCTTCATGTTGAATAGTAACACCTGTTGTCTTAACCAGACCCTGAGTAGCATCCTGTCCCACCTCCAGTTCTGATTCTGAATGAAGCTCTTCAGTGAATTCGCTGATGATTTCCGTAGGGGTATTAGTGCTTACCCCGGGTGAAGCCTCCAAGGTTGCAGGAATATCATGCTCATATTTTCCGTAAGTATAATCTTCTAGAGTTCTATCAGTGGTCAATAATGTAAACTCAGAGACAACATCAGCTTCATGTTGAATGGTAACACCTGCTGTGTTAACGGGACCATCTGTAACATCCTGTCCCAACTCTGTTTCTGAATAAAGCTCTTCAGTAAAATCACTGGTGACTACTGTAGGAGAAGTGTTTATTCCTAGCAAGTCCTCAAAGGTCATGGGAATCTCATAATCATACATTCTTGAAGTAGACTCCTCTGGAGTTCTATCAGTTGTCATTAATTTAGACTCTAAGACTATTTCAACCTCTTCATGTTGAATGGTAAAATTCAATATTTTGACAGGACTGTCAGTAGCATCCAGTTTTACCTCCAGTTCAGGTTCTGAAATAGGTTTCACAGTGGCCACACTTGTGAGTTCTATAGGTGAACTAGTGCTTATCCCTGTCGAGTCCTCAAAGGCTGTGATACGATCAGGCTCAGGAGTGATTCCAATTGTCATCTGAAGCTCTGCAGCCATAGTGGTGAATAAGATTTGGTCTTCAGGGGTCTGTGGTGTGATGTCCTGTGAATCTGTTACTGCCTCAGGAACCAGAATACTGACTGGGTGAGGAAAGAGAAAGAAAGAGAGTGAGGAAGTGGCAGAAAAAAGAAAATGTATGTCATAAGAGGAAGTTTGAATTATTTCTGAATTTCATATTGTAAATTGCACCCATTAATTGCGTACACTTATTTGTCTTCAGGATCAGGGCCAAACATGTAGCCTATCATTGAGGCCAAGTCCATTCACAAATAATTAGTTACACTTGACTAAATGGCAGAACTATTTCTAAGGATCATGACACCTCTACTGCATTACAAGTCTCTGAGTACCTAAAAAGGATTAAAGTCTATTCTGAGAGCGGTGTATATCCTGAAACATTGAGCACTAGATCTCTGTTGATATGACTGCAGGGTCGCATACAGACATTAACAATACAGCTATATCAGATCATAACTTATATCAACACACTGCAAAATTCAGTCAATAGAAGTAAGACTTTCTAGACTTTGGCTACTTATTTTGAAGTATTTATAAACACAGGGAGTGGGAACACAGATCCATTGTTTAAGAAGCATATTTTTTTCAAACAATGTAGTAAACTAGACTGACCTTGTTGGGTTGTGGCCACGTTTGCTTGTGTTGGCGCAGTAGTCTTTGTCTGATGTCTGCGAAAGAAAAGATAATTATAAATGTTTTTAAGGCCAGGAACATATCTAAACATACCAAAATCTACAAAATCTAAACTTGGTTTAGCAACCAAGTTTAGTTTCTCCCCTTCAGGATATGAATTGAACCATAATCAGTGCTATGTCTCTAAAGCTAGTGGAAAGTAAACTAGCTTCAGCAGGGACTAAAGGTATGACTGAAATATTTGCAGTCTGAAGCCAGAGTTCTGCATCCAGCTTTTACTATTAATGGGTGGTTTTGTCTGCAAAGCACCAGTGTGTGCTCTGAATTAGCTACTTTAGCTGCCTTGCTAAAGAAAGAATTGGTGTTTTAGATTATTCATATAGTCTAAGTATTATGTTACATATGTTACAATCTGAGCTCCACACTGTGCATTTGCAGATTTATTTAATGTTTAGGCTGCAGAGCGGTACTACTGTATGCAAATTATGTTGTTTCATGCCTATAAGTAGCTTGGGAGCTTGAAGTCCTACCTGCATTCAGGTTGCCATGGGCTGGTGGGCGCACTATCATAAGACAAATATAGTGAAAAATAATGTGATTACACTGTTACTTTAGAAACAGTGGAATGCAATGTGGGTTCCTGTATTTTTCTACATAGCACATAATTATGTGAAATATGGATTTAAGATAAGTGCGCTGTGTTGACCCGAGTTTGACAGCAACTTGTGATGAAATGCAATACAGTGTAAAGCTTAAAAAGTATTTCCTGCAATATTATCATATTCCTATCCTATCATATATCACATAGTACCATGATATTAACATGGTACTCCAAAGTGCTTCAAAGAATACCATGTTATTATGATGGAAATGTTTGTAAGCAGTTCTCACCTTGTTGATGTCACTGAAGCTGCTCCTACCCTCTGCAAAATACCATAAAGTAGTTTTTTGTTTCTCTCTTTTAATTTAAGAGTTATTTGTTAAGTACCATGACATAAACAAGTATACTTACACTTGAAATCAGAGTAAGGTGCTCAGCTGACTGGCTAAAGCTCCGGCCAATGTCAAACACGCTAACACTACTATTTTGACATTTCCTCATCCAGATTTGGTACTCTTCTTTCTCAGGTAAGCGATCCCAGAAGATTTTGAAAGCCTCCCAAATTGTTTCCTGGCATACTAAGGCACAAACAAATGCAAACAGATCTACAGATACCCATAAGCATGCCAACCCATACAATGTAAACACACATAAGCTCTTAAATGTAGGGAAAAAAACAGGAACAGTAAAGCAGCCAAAACATTGAGGAAAATTTACCTATTTTTGACAATTCTCAATATCTTTACAATATGTTTTGACAAATGGTGTATAACATTTTTAGTGCATCACTGCATTAGCTTTAGCGTCATGCTAACCTATGTTGCCATTTAAACTATGCACTTTGTAGAGTTGCTGTCTATGAGTGCACTCTAGATCAGTCACTTATGAGGTTCAATTGCAGTTATGATGATGATGCCAGTGTAGACAGCAGACAGTAATGCAGCTTGCTAGGTTTTGGAAAAGAACTAGTGAACTGTAAACAGTGGAGAAGAAATAATCTGCCAAAACACCAGCTATGAACTATGAGCTGTAGTGGAATTTGACATCACTTTGAATGGATACCCCTTTCATTTAGAAGAGACAAATACAGAAATAACAATTTTTTCTTTATTTCTAAATTAAATAAAGAAAAAGCAATAGCTAACATAATGGAACCATCTCTTATCCTTATCCTCACACGTCAATTGCTCCAGACAAACTTAGTTTCTTTTATTTCTCAATTTGTGAACCAAAATTACTATTTCGGTACGTGCCGCATACTTTCTCAATGTACCCTACAAGTGGAAAATTAAATGCGCAGATGGGAGATGTTAACCCTTGCTAACATTTTCCACCTCCAGTCAAAATGTTCCACCTACATCTGCCCGCCATTCCGACTATGTATGACGACTAACAGAAGTGCGTAGGAAGGCAAAGGTCACAAGTTTTCATGGCAGAGTGAAGGATCTTATCGCCGTCTACAGTGATTCAGTAGCAATGGGGTAGAAATGGGGAATTCTGGCCTTTCCTACTGGAACGATACATGTTGACAGCAATTGACTTTAACAGCTTTTTCGGACATCTCAAGCCCCCTGCTGACAGCCACACCTTTATTATCAGCCTTAAAGGGACAGTTCACCCCAAAATAAAAATTGTCATTATTTACCCATTTGATTTCTGTTTATCCATGGAACTCTAGAGAAGTTATTGAGTTGAATGTCTAGGCTATATACACTCTTAAAAATATAGGTTCTTCATTGGCATTTATGGTTCCATGAAGAACAAAATTGCACAAAAGGTACTTTAGAGTGGGAAAAGGTTCTTTAGATTTTTTAAATGTTCACGGAAATATTCTTTAATGAACCCAAATGGTTCTTCTATGAACATCACTGTGAAAAAAAAAAACCTTTGGAACATTTATTTTTAAGAGTGTACAGTAAGAAAAAATATATTTTTGCTTTCATTTTTGGGTGAATTAATTTCTTTGGCATATACAGTGGGGGAACACCAGATACTTTTTATTATTATTTTAAATCAGTGTTTCACACAAATTGTATTTGTGTTCATTTATAACAATGCAAACCAGACACAATCACAAGTAGTCTCTGACTTTTGGACCCCGCTCTACATGTAAAAAAGCATCAGAGTGCCCTTTAATAGGGTTCCGTGGCTAAACGTAATCAACTTTCCACTGACACACTGCAAGAATAAACTTTATGTAAAACAGCAACACTTGGTTCTCGAGTTGTCGTAATTAGATTCACTAGGGTCATCTGGGTCCTATTAATGCACCAGCGAGAAACATTATTCTCAGCGGTGGTCTCCAATAGAGTTTAATACTTTGATTGTATCTAACTTCACAGGCTAATATGTGAAGCTTAGAAAGAGCATGATGTGGAAAAGTGTGTTGAGTGCGTCTGAATATTTGTGCACAATTATATGTAAGACAGAGACAAAGAGACCGTGTGTTTCTGACGTTTCGAAACTGTGGTCAAATATGCGGTTACTTGGATGTTAATGGAACCGGTCAGGTTGGCTTAGTTTATTATTGATGAAAAGTAGAGAAGTATGAGCTCATTTTTCTCACATAATGAGCATCCATTTACACTATAGAAGTCATCTGCAACGTACTGTACCTTACAATTACCATTCTTAGCGACTATCCCAGAATCCTTCAAAAGAAAGTAAAAACAAAATGTCTGGTTCTTACCTCGCAGGTGAAAGTAGTTGAGATGATTCTGTATTGCCTGTTGCACCGTCTCATGTGAGCAAAGTTTAACTCCACTGGGAAACAGGAGGTCTCTTTTCCGTCTAGAAAGAGCCATCTTCCCTTCACCAGACATGTAACTCGCGGTTTTACCTTTAACTGGCACCAACGAGTGATTCAAAACTTCACTGGTGTCCGAAAAAGTTTTATATCCATTTGGTAAATAATCCTTGTGAGTTCCAGAATCTGATGAAGAACAAAGAACACATGGTGACAAGATTGTAAGCATCACAAAACTCCTCAAGGCCTTCTTGTAGAGTAGATACATACCTGCATCTAAGGAACAATGTCCGGTCAACAACAATACCAAAACCCACCAAATGCATTTAAAAGACAGATCAGGCATAACGATTCCTTATCCCGGGACACTTTAGAGAAAAAGTCTTAAATTTTTAGTTCACTGACTGATCAAATTTGGGCATCCCTCCTTACAGCCCCAAAAACAACTTGTGGAGAGTAGAATTAATTAGTCTGCATTGTCAGAACATCCTTTCCTTGTCACAGAGGGATGCGATCATGTAGCTTTGAGCTGACGTCTCCCCATGCGGCTTAGCAGATGGCTCTTTGGGAGATTTTTCTTGCCCACTAATCCTATTTGTTAATTCTTCTGAGGAAGCTTGTCGAGAAGTCAGTGATACTCTTTCATTGCCCACCTGTACGATCTGTCTGGATTGCCGAGATGTCGAAATACAGTCCCGTAATTTGCGGTCTGATCCATTGAGGAGTTCAATTATGAGAGTGTCTTCCTTGTTCTCCATTGCTGCCATTGGGTGTAATGGGATTTCAATTCGAAGAGTTGAAATATACACGATTAATTGCACAATCTACCATGTAAGATCTCTTGCTAAGACCAAGTGTTTGACTAGATGTGACATCTTGTAGGGTTAGCCCTTTGTCTACAAGTTTGCCACGTGCTGTGACGGCGCAGCTTACAGGGACTTCATCTTTAATGGGTTTTGGGTGTATTCCATCATGGCAGGGATCGTATGAACAGATGGCACAAGCGTGGGCCAAACAATTCCAGGTTTCGTAAGGTATCAATGGTTCGGTGGAGGATATTAAAACCACAGATGATCATTCAACGTATATTGCATTGAATTCATTCTAAATCAGTGTTCGTAAAGAGAAACTCTGAATGCTTGCTTGTCTGAAAGGTTAGTTTATAAAGGATACTTGGGCAGTTTGAAGTGAGTTTTGAAGTTTAGCACATTGGAAATCAGATATAGATAGATAGAGAGAGAGAGAGAGATGAATGTTAAGACTGCCAGATGGTTCAGACACTGAGCTGATGGACTCTGGTTTAAATCCGTTGAGTTTGATGGTAAAGGGTGTTTGACGGGAAGCAGGCGGTGGGGATGTGACAGATCAAACCCTGTGTGACATCTGCCATCTCTGTAGCTTTTTTTTCTCTTTCTTTTTCACTTTGTACTCCATTCATTCTTTTCACTTATCCTACTAACAGTGTCCAAAATGCACCAAAACTAATTTCGGAATTCTTCACCAAAATTAACGTAAGATGCATTTCCGCTGTCATGAATAAATGTAATTTCCACCACATCTCAAATCACCATTCATTCTGCGGTGGAAACTTTTTTTTTTTTTTTTTTTTAAATCTTTTCCCTGTTCCTGTTCTTATTATTGGTAATAAAATAACATGCTCCATTGTCTTGCTAAGACTATCAATTTTATGTATCCTAAAGGCATGCAATTAAATTATTTGACAATTGTAAATGATTGTAAATAAATAAAAAGACAAATATGATTTTCTTTGATGTTTCTGTTTCTTCACACATCAACATAAGCTCTTTTGAAGCTTTTTTCAAGCTATTGAAAAAACGGTTATAAAGGTTAATTTAAAGATGTGTTATTTTAGTATTATATATATATATATATATATATATATATATATAATATTTTGAATTTTGTCAAGTCACCTTTATTTATATAATGCTTTATACAATACTGTGTCAAAGCAGACTTCCAATAGTGTCTGTGCAATCAGTCAAGCGTCCCCAACTAAACAAGCCAAAGGTGACAGTGGCAAGGAACCAAAACTCCATCGGTGACAGAAATGGAGAAAAAACTTAGGAGAAACCAGACTCAGTCGAGGGGCCAGGTCTCCTCTGGCCAGATGAAACCAGCATGACATGGTTTAATTCTAGGCTGCAACACAGGTCAGATTGTGCAGAGGACTCGTCTGGTTCTCGTGGTCTTTTGCCGATAGGTGTAATTTTTAATTAATATTTTTTATTTTTCATTCTAATTTAAGTTTTAGTATTTTTTTTTCATTTAATTAACTTGTATTTTATTAGTTATAATTATCTGTAGTACTTAAACTTCTAACTTAAATCAGTTACCAGGTTTCATACGTTTAAAACTGTTATCAATATTCAGTACCAATAATTCAATAGTAAATATTTAAACTATTTTATTTCAGCTTTATTTCAATTATTGAAAACTTTTTATCATCATTATTATTGCTGTTGTTGGTTTTAGTGAAATGATAACAACACTGAAAACTAAAAACAATATTAGTATGATATATTTGTAAACGCATGATAGTTTCAAAACGGTTTAATGTGACCTTAATTTTTTTTAAAGATTTAAAAAAATGATGATGATGATGATGATCAAGCCGAACAGTAATTCTGGGAATAGACATCATCACAATAGTCACGGGTTCAGTTATCACAACTCCTTACTTCAGCAGGAAGTTGTGTAAGCGTTTAGGTAACTTTGGCTTCACCTGAATTAAAAAAGCTAACAGAAAAAGCAAGGAAGGTTTGGAGCAGGTCGTCACCGCAGCACTCCAACATCTTGACCTATTGAATTCAGACAGACCTGAACAAAGCTTCTGTTTTCTTTGTCACAACACTATGTCTGCCATCCAAGTGTAAAGGACAAAGTTAGCACCAGACAGTGATGGTGACATTTCAAGAAGGTTTAATGGTTAAACATTGTAAATTGGATAAAATGGCAAGTCGTTGGACGCTCGCCTGTCAGAGATCTGGGCGACTATCCAGAGAGTCAGATAAGGATTTCATCTTCAGTCGCTTCCATTCACATGTACTGTACTTGGTTGATATGATTTAGCAGAAAGCTACATACAGTTCATATGCACTTCTTAAAGAAATAGCCAAAATATTTTGAACAGAGATGTTTTGCAGAATGTTCTGGCAGCTCTTTTCCACACGATAAAAGTGAATGGGGACAGGGGCAATTAAACTCCAAAACTACTAACAACAACAAAAAAAAGACATTCTTGGTTTTGTTTTTATATGTTTTCGGCAATCAGATCCTTGTTTCTAGAACCAGAAAGCAGTGGCGTAGTTGTCAGAGTAGATTATGGCGTATATGAAGCAAGGTTGAGGGGGGTGTGTGAAATCTCTTCTTTTCAGAGGCTAATTCAGCTCTAATCTCAGAGTCCAGATTAACTAATCTAGGGCCGTATAGTGTAAAGTTGGAGTAGTGGGCCTGACATCGGCTCAATCAGGCTACTTCCATTGTCAGGCGTGATTAGGGGAAAACCCAACACTGATCCTAAATCCCAGCACAGCATCCCAGTCAGGCCTTGAGTTTAAGGCCACACACTGCGGGAGGCTCAGTACTTCTATTAATAAACACAAATCATATACTGGATACAGTGGGTGTCCAAATGTATTCCATATTACATTTTCTAATTTAATTTATATATTTTCTTGAAATTGAGAAATTATATTATCAGCAAACCAATTTGAATGAAAAGTGCATTAAAAGCTTCTTCGCACTATAATAAAAAAAAAATACATAATAATAATAATAATGAAATAGAAAAACTAGAAACAATGGAAAGGTCTACTAAATTTTAGGGGGCATTTTTAGACTAACAAAAAAAAGATATGGCAAGTGGCCATTCTTGTACAGCAATAATCTCTTAATTTTCCTTGAGGAATCCTTCACTACCCCGAGAAATAATCTTCCAGTAAACAACCTTTGGATTAGCGAGAGAAAAACCCAGCAGCGGACGCTTTAAATCCCATTCCCACCTGAACAACACCCATCTGCACCGAACAACACACTCCTGCTCTCCTCCAAATCCTAGTGCGTTCATGAGCTAGCGGCTTCATATACAATACTATTTTTAATAAAAATCATTCTATGATAAATACATGAAATAAAGGGTCAAAGTTCACCCTAAAAACAACCGGAAAAAAACATTCTAAATAGACACAATATTTTATATGAAGAAAATCTTGACAATTAAGCACATTTTCGGCCAGATATGCTTAAAATAAGTTCTATATTCCCACATGATATATATATATATATATATGGTTGCACTGATGCTTGGGCCAGTCTTGTATATATATACATATATGTGTATGTGTGTGTGTAATATATGAATCCAATTAATACGAATAATTATTTTCCTTGGAAGAAAAATGCACATGAAAAAACAATCAGCACTGGCCATCAAACCTTTTTTCCAACAAAATGCTTAAATTCGCACAGCAGGGGCTGATAATGCCTGTACAGTTAAAGTGAACTTTAATTTTCTTAAAAAAATAAATAAATCTTTCATTCCTTTTCATCCCTCTCTACTTTTAAAGTTTTCCATTAATGAAAAGCATTTTAAATATATGTCAGGTACTGGATAAATAAAGTTTATGATGTTTATCATTATTTTAGTAGGCAGTGAGGGGTCCAGCTGAACTCCGGCCAAATCAAACAAACACACGAGAAAGCGGGCCGATGCTTTGTTTCAATTTCATCACAAACGCTCATGTTCTCTAGTGCCTCTGGAAAAAGGGCCGCTTTTATGTTCTTTTTTTTTTTCTTTATTGGAGCAAATAAGTGCATTATGGGGATTTCAGTGCTGCTTGAACTCTCAGGAACACACTGCTTTTTGTAGAGATGGCACTATTACCATTTCAAAAGGTAATATACTCTAATTACAAGTACTCAACTTTTGGAATCTGTATCCAGGAATCCATCCATCCATATATATGTATATATAGAAGCTTGTTTCCACCACAGGATAAAAAAAAAAAAAAAAAAGGTCATTACGACTTGGCATCTCACAATTTGGATTTTTTCCCCCCCGCAATTGCAATTTTGAGAAAAAAAAAGTCAGATTTTTTTTTAAGTCTTTTATAAAGTCAGAAAAGTGAGATATATAAATTTGCAATTCTATGAAAAGTCAGATTTGTGAGAAAAAAAAAAAAGGTCTGAATTGTGAGATAGAAACTCACTATTGTGGGGAAAAAACTGATTTGTATATCCAACCATGTGTGTATATATATATATAAATATCCAATATATCAAAATCCCAATTCAATTTTAAAATATTCAGCTCTTTTTTTTTTATTCAAATAACCTACATTGTTTGTGGGGAAATCAATAAAACAGATGAAACTGAACATTTAAAAACCATTTTAATACAAATAAATACAAAGTTAAATTATAAATATATCCCTTATCTGATAATCAGTAGAAAAAAAAGAAAGAAAACAAACCCTAATAGTAGACCCTAATAGTTGTTTTTTTAGTGAGAGGGCATGTTCCGGCTGTTT